CACTTAGGCATGCGGGGAGACCGGGAGTTGAACCACCAACTTGCTGGTCAGGAGACAACTGCCCTACTTTGTGAGCCACAGCCACCCCAGTGCTCATGTTTCAGACTTCACCTTGAGGAAGTTGAAGGTGCTGGAGATGCTGAACTCAATCCGTTCTCCGTTCACAGTTGGAGGATAGTTCACATGAAACTTCACCAAGTCCTTCGCCTGGTCAGCAGAGCCCAGCTCCACAAACGCCTGCGGGGTTTACAACACATTAAAGTCAATACAGAGTGAATGAACCTGGAGCTTCCCATAACTTGAACCTGTAGTGCAAAGTTGGTTGGTTCTTCTTTGCTGTACTCTACACACCAGAAAGGATCTGATGCAGGTGCTTGTGAGTCCAAAAGGCTGACTGAGGTTGTGGGATTAAACACCAGCTTCCTCCGTCTTTACTCATTTTTGATGTCAACAGAGCCGATCTCACAACACTGGCACACACTCTTATTACTTTATCAGACAGTGTAGTGTAAATAAAGTAGTAACTGTCTGCAGTAACAGCATGGCTCTCCTAAATGACACAATTTTGGTCACACCACCCAGTTAAACAGCAGGATAAGACTTATAAAAGCAATATTACACAGTGATATTATGTTGTATTTAGTTGTATAAAAGTGAAGTTGTGTGTGTGATAAGCCACATGCACTCACTAGAGAAGGAAACATGAGGATCTGGGCGATCTTTCCAAACGGCTCAGTCAGTTTCCTCAGGTACTTCTCATCCACAGACCGAGCTGGAAACTTCACACACACCACTTTGCTTTTGTCTGAAGTCTGACAGGACAGAAACACCAGAGGGTTCACAAAGGAGCAGCTACACTCACACAACATGCCTTCTGACTGACTGAACATTCTCTACCTTGTTCTGGGACTTCATGTTTGGCTGTGGCCCTATTAAAACACAGAAAAAGACAAATGTTAATGTAGTAACATGGATCAAAATGCTGTGAACAACACTGCTGAAGTACAATAAGGCGGCTTTACTTTGGCTCTGATTGACTGTCTGTGACAGCTGGGCCGGTCTCTCTTCATCCTTCCACTTCTCCGATCGGTTGTCAGCCCTCAAATGACAGGAAGATTTTAATTAGGACATTGTTCTATCATTCATGATCAACCAATAAAGAGACACACACCAATGAGCCACAACGTGACGAACGCTCACAGATAATGCTGATTACAGCGTGACAACCAACAAGAGATTGGGCAGGTGATTACAAAGTTCTGGTTCACTAATACACATGCACAGGTTTCATGGTGATGGGTAATGATTATGGCTGTAATTATAGTTACTGACCTGCTGACTGTCTCCATGCGACAGTCCCAGCTAGGAAACCTAGACAAGAGACATGAGTTATGAAACCAAAACTGAACAAGACACAGACTGTAAGGACAGGCTCTCTCCATCCCAGCAGAGATATACATCTATATTTATACTAGTCTTTGATAGTTTTCCCATTGGACAGCATGGCCAGATAAAACTAATCATTTACTTTATGAAGTACTAGAGGTGTGCTGGTCACAGTGAAGGCATATTCACCTGATCACAGGAAAACGACAGCCTTGTGCTGCACGTTCCACACTGCTCAGCACCCGATTTACTCTTCAGGGGCGCTGTCCCACACGGCGCCACCTTAGTCTCAGTGCTGATATTTCTAGTAGTAAATTGCTACGTTTCAAAGACTCAAACTGCATCTGCAGCTGATATGTTGCCAGTTACAGAGGCTGTCTGTCTTTGTCTGGTCTGGATATGAAAGTCATTTGTTATTGTACAGTTTGGAAAATCAGAAACATGAGCAAGCTGCATAGTTTTCATCTGTGATTGGCCACAACAATCACAGCTCAGGTCAAAGTTAAACAAATCTGAACTTCTGGAGAGTTGCCACTACACACAGAGCTGGCTAAGCACACCACATACATAACGGTGGTGAGGCAAATGTAAAAGCTGTTTTTCCACATTAATGTGAGCATGCCTCAAGCCTCAGTCATTAACATTAAAATTCCTCCCTGCAAAATACCCCCACATATGTGCATGTTCTTATGTAGACTGATTTTTATTCATTTGTATTCAACTGCTAATTGACCAATGCATTTAATTTCCTAAAACTGCTTCACAATAAAAGCGTCTCACTGGTTTGCCAGTGGAAAGCTTTTAAAGGTGAAGCAGCAGCAGTGGGAAATGTTGGATTTGCAAAAACTTAGATCTATAAAGGTACTGAGAGCTGAACACCGAGAGACTTAAACCGTTAAGTGTTTCTGCTGTCAGTTATCTTCAGTCAGTGACAGCTGCTGGCTAGGTTTTAGCTCCATAGCACCCCCGACTTCATGCTACCTTAGATAAATATTATCTATAAAAGATTCAGCAAACAGAGAACGCTGACGCTGAGTTCTGAATGAAGAACAGATGAACTGGTGCAACTTGCCTGCTGAGCAGGACCAGGCTCGGGTCATCTCCTGTGATTAAAGTGGGCTCCACTGTGGAAAACCTTGCTGAATGAGACTGCATAGCACCTCTGTACCTGTCTGGTCCAGGATTAAACTTACCGCTGCAGCAGGTTGAGCTGTCCGTCTGCATGATTACTGCCGTTGATGTGTTTGGTCCAATCCTGAAACACAAGAACAAGGTATAAGACTATGATCTGTTCCCGCCACTGTTCAGTTTTTAAAACCTGAGAGCTGCAGCCACTTCCATTCAAGGCCCCATCATTCCTCTGCAGCAGCTGAACACAGACCCCTCCCTCTCCCATCAGACTCTGTAGAGAGACTCGAGCAGGGCTACAAGTGTACTTACCTTCTCTGACAGCACAGTGATATCACACAGTGAGCACGAGTACGGGAACACTTTCGGACATGTCCCATGGAAGTCCCGAGCTTCCTTCTGGGAGGGCATCAGGGCAGCGGCAGCATGCTGCCTGCCGCTCCTGACTGTAGAAGCTTCAGACTCACGGCGGCCCCCTCGAGGCTGAGGCTGGTACTCTTCAGGAGGAGGTGCCGACCTGTAAACAGCTGCTCTGGGATCGGAGAAACGGGATGGCCGAGCTACTTTTGTAGGCACTGGTGCACTGAAAGTGGCTCGGTCCTGAAAGGAAGCTGGACCAGTGACTCTGCCTGTCTTACCAAACTCAGAGGGTGATCTGTGGTGGAAGTCCAGCACAATGTAGCCGGATGATGATGAAGATGATGGTGACAGTACGTCTGCCCTGACAGAGCTGCTGGTTAGGGGAGTCCCCCAGCGGTCCTGCTCAGATGGAAGATGACAGGATGATGTATGGTCCAGTGGGTAGCGAACCACCTGGCTGTGGCGCTGATCCCAGTCTCTGGAGGACGAAGTGACAGACTGCCACCGTGTGGAGCTGGGAGGATAAGAGGAAGAGGAGGAGGAAGGAGAGGGAGGCCGGGGAAGGAAAGGTTTGACCATCCCTCGCTTTCCTTTGATCTGCTGGAGGAGGTGAGGCAGAGAATCCACGGTAAGCACATCTTCAGGCAGCTTGGCCAGCAAAGCCAGGTCGTCGGGCTCCAGGCCACAGCTGTTCAGGATGTTGAGAACGCTGTCCTGTGACCACTGAGCACCTGCCGAACCTCTGGACGAGGAGGTGGACGGGTAAGGTGAGGAGAAGTGCTCTGGAGGCGGCCTGTAAAAGTCGTGATCTGGTGAGGCGTGTCGACGGTCTGCAGAGCCGTAAGGTCCAGGTTCAGGTCTGAGGTCGGAGTCACACAGCGGTCGTCTGTAGGGGTGGTTGTGAGACATGATGCGAGGGAACTGTGAAGAAACGCTTCCTGCAGACAGAAGGTGTCAGGGAAGACAGGAGATGTAAACAGTGACTTAAAGAGAGACAGACGGTTTGTCCTTAGATGGAGACACAAGAAGAGAGAAACCTGAACGCTGAGAAACACCTTGCTCACAGGGTGTAAAAAGCACAGGACAGGTGAGGATCTTTGCAACATATGCAGAGAAAAATGAGAGACTTACTGTTTCAGCTTCAGTTAAAGAAAAAAAAAAAAACATGGCTTTCCCCTAAATGTCTTCATATCCATCATACAGAATTCAACGAGAGGGAAAAAGGAGTCCGATTTTTTTAAATCTAGATTTTATTCCATCACGGCTCCTTAAGGAGGTCCTGGACATTGTTGGCCCCAATTTATTAGCAATAATCAACAGATCCCTAGTAAGTGGCTATGCCCCAAACTGCCATACACCCTCTGATTCAAAAACCTAATCCAGATCCGTCAGTGCCATATAATCAGACCTATGTCAAAGCTGTCATTATCTTGATAAAGTTGTTCTTGATCAACTAACCTCCTACCTGGACAGATGTGGTTTCCTGGATAAATTTCAGTCTGGTTGTGGGGTGCACCACAGCGCAGACTAAGTTCTCTCGAGCGTGACAAATGACTTGTTTCAGTCTCTCTATTCAGAAAATCACACTATTTTAATTCTTTTAGATGTGTCTGCTGCCTTTAACACAAACAATCACACCATCCTTGTAGACCACCTTAAGCATACTGCTGGCATTCAGGGTCTGGCCCTTCAGTGGTTTACCTCTTACCTCCAGGTCAGTCTGCTCCACTTCTACACCTGTCTCCTATGTTACAGTGGTGTGAAAAAGTGTTTGCCCCCTTACTGATTTCTTATCTTTCTGCATGTTTGTCACACTGTAATGTTTCAGATCATCAAACAAATTTAAATATTAGTCAACGATAACACAAGTAAACACATCATGCAGTTTTTAAATGAAGGTTTTTATTATTAAGGGAAAACAAAATCCAAAACTACAAAGCCCTGTGTGAATAAGTGTTTGCCCCCTTACTGATTTCTTATCTTTCTGCATGTTTGTCACACTGTAATGTTTCAGATCATCAAACAAATTTAAATATTAGTCAACGATAACACAAGTAAACACATCATGCAGTTTTTAAATGAAGGTTTTTATTATTAAGGGAAAACAAAATCCAAAACTACAAAGCCCTGTGTGAATAAGTGTTTGCCCCCTTACTGATTTCTTATCTTTCTGCATGTTTGTCACACTGTAATGTTTCAGATCATCAAACAAATTTAAATATTAGTCAACGATAACACAAGTAAACACATCATGCAGTTTTTAAATGAAGGTTTTTATTATTAAGGGAAAACAAAATCCAAAACTACAAAGCCCTGTGTGAATAAGTGTTTGCCCCCTTACTGATTTCTTATCTTTCTGCATGTTTGTCACACTGTAATGTTTCAGATCATCAAACAAATTTAAATATTAGTCAACGATAACACAAGTAAACACATCATGCAGTTTTTAAATGAAGGTTTTTATTATTAAGGGAAAACAAAATCCAAAACTACAAAGCCCTGTGTGAATAAGTGTTTGCCCCCTTACTGATTTCTTATCTTTCTGCATGTTTGTCACACTGTAATGTTTCAGATCATCAAACAAATTTAAATATTAGTCAACGATAACACAAGTAAACACATCATGCAGTTTTTAAATGAAGGTTTTTATTATTAAGGGAAAACAAAATCCAAAACTACAAAGCCCTGTGTGAATAAGTGTTTGCCCCCTTACTGATTTCTTATCTTTCTGCATGTTTGTCACACTGTAATGTTTCAGATCATCAAACAAATTTAAATATTAGTCAACGATAACACAAGTAAACACATCATGCAGTTTTTAAATGAAGGTTTTTATTATTAAGGGAAAACAAAATCCAAAACTACAAAGCCCTGTGTGAATAAGTGTTTGCCCCCTTACTGATTTCTTATCTTTCTGCATGTTTGTCACACTGTAATGTTTCAGATCATCAAACAAATTTAAATATTAGTCAACGATAACACAAGTAAACACATCATGCAGTTTTTAAATGAAGGTTTTTATTATTAAGGGAAAACAAAATCCAAAACTACAAAGCCCTGTGTGAATAAGTGTTTGCCCCCTAAACCTAATAACTGGTTGGGCCACCCTTAGCAGCAACAACTGCAATCAAGCGTTTTCGATAACTTGCCATGAGTCTTCCACAGCGCTGTGGAAGACTCATGGCAAGTTATCGAAAACGCTTGATTGCAGTTGTTGCTGCTAAGGGTGGCCCAACCAGTTATTAGGTTTAGGGGGCAAACACTTTTTCACACCACTGTATACCACAGGGCTCCATATTAAGCTGTTTTAGTTTCTTTACACAGGCTTCTGCTGGGGTCTAATTTTAGAACACACAATACCTCCTATAACTGTTATGCTGATGACACTCAGTTGCAGCTCTTTGAAACCTGGTGATCCAAGCTGTTTTAACTCTAAAATCCTGAATAGCAAAAAAAGATGCCTTAAGCTAAATGAGAACAGATCCTAATATTCAGCCTAGCACATTTAAATCTATTTAACACTTGGGCCTCTGGCATTAAATAGTAACTCCCATGCAAGGAAACTTGGCGTTACGCTTGATGCTGATTTAAAATTTGATAAAGCACTAGTTAGCCCAGCACTAGTTTCTTTCAGCTAAGAGCACTCACAAAATTAAAACTATTCCTGCCTGCAAAAAATTTTCTAGAAGTGTGATGTGATCTCGTTCCATGAGATCTTGCAATATTAAAAGGTGACGATACTTCTCGTTGGGGCAAAAGCTGTCTTGTGATATCAGTACATATCAGAATCAGGCTAGTATGATGGTACGTTCACATTAGTCCGACAAAAACGCAATTCTCTGCTGTGTTTTCACACACAGGACTGCGTTGGTCGAAGGGTGAGGTGTTGCAGGTGTAATACAGCCACGTTGTGACTAGGGCTGTGTATTGGTAAGAAATTGGCAATATGATATGAATCACAATACAGGTTTACGATTTGATATACTGCAATACTGTAAACAAGCCAATATACTGTGACTTTTTTAAAATCTAACCTTAGAAAAACTGTCACAAAATAAGCAACACACCACCGTATGTGCATGTGTGTGGTTGTTCGTCTATGTGTTAGCCCTGCGATGGATTGGCGACCTGTCCAGGGTGTACCCCGCCTTCGCCCAATTGCCGGCCGGGATTGGCTCCGGCCCCCCCCCCCGTGACCTCGTTCAGGGACTAAACGGTAGAAAATGAATGAACCACCGTATTAATAAAATCTCCCATAAAAAATGTTTACTTTTTTATGCAACTAGAACAGTGATCTGCATTTGCATTCGCCATGGTCCCTTTAACATCCAACAACACAGCTCTATTTGGCAGGTGAACTATTACTTAAAAATCAATACTGTGTTTTTGAGAATCAATACAGTATCACAAAATGTAATATCACGATACTCAAGTGTATCGATATCTTCCTACACCCCCAGATGTGATGAATGGCTTCATTCATGTTTCCAGCCCGTGAGTTTCCATTGTGTTTTGGTTAGCCACACTGCTAATGTAACCTACTCTACCTTAAAACCAATTTTACCACCAGGGTGTCGACATTAATAGATTTAAAATGCCATTTAACATCCAGTACTAATGAAAATGCACAGCGTGTGGGTATAGTAGTCCTCTCTCAACCGGAGGGTCGTAGGTTTGAATCTCGGTGCCTGCAGTCCACATGTCAAAGTGTCCTTGGGCAAGACACTGAACCCCCAAGTTGCCCCCGATGGTTAGAGCCATCAGTTGAGTTGGCGCCGCAGATGGCTGCCTCAGTTCTGTACCAAAAACAAATTCCTTGTGTGCAACATACTTGGCCAATAAAGGTGGTTATCCTTATCCTTAACTGTGGCCCAAATCTGACAGTGAATAGCAGCAAATGCTCATGGTAAACAAAATAGGCTAAATACGTAAACAAAAGGGTTCTCTTCCCATGGGCGTCCACATCCTGATCGTCCCCCATATGTGATTGGTCAACACAGTGCCTTTGCCGGAAGATGTCACCGTTCGGTGCGACGGGGTTGAAAACAGCATAGAAGGTCACACACAGCTTCAGTTAGATGTTAGAAGCTCATGCACAGTTCGTGCACAGTTCTAAGGTCTGAAGAGACTCATGCCAGGAGAAGAGCCAGTCAGCTGAGTCTGTAGCCAAACCTTTTACAGTACTGTACTGCATGTGATCATTCACCCGGTAGAACTGAAGTGACATTCATTACAAGATGATTAGTTCAAACATTTCAAAATGTACCTGCACTGTTTTGCATTTTGTCACGTTCAGTCAAATGAAAGAATTTTTCCAGTAGTATATTTCGTCATATTTCATCAAGATTTCTTAAAAATTGTGTTTAAATATTGTGTCGTTCTTGTGACCTTAATATTGTGCAACGCCTTGTCTTGCGAACTAAGTGTATTGTCACACCCCTAATGTTTTCATTTCCTCTCGCCTTGACTACTCCCCCTCACTCTAAGAAGGAATCCGTCAGTCAGCCTCGTCTCATCTGCAGCCGCAAGACTCCTCGCTGGAACTGAGTCGAGACACGGTACTGGGCCATCTCCACTGTTACCAGTGAGGTACAGAATTGATTTTAAAGTTCTTTTATTTGTTGTTGAAGATCTGCACAGCTTCTCAACGGATTACATCTCCGAGCTCCTCATCATCCTCCTACTGCCCCGTCAGACCCCCCAGGTGTGCTGACCAATTATTGCTCTATTATCTGCACACACATTTAAAATGTAAAGGTAATGAGATTTTTTTCACTGTCGGTCCAAACATGTGGAACAGTTTGGCCCTCCCCTCCACTGATATTTTTAAGACCTATCTTAAGACCCACCCTTCTTCCTTAGCCTTCTATTTTTATGCCTTTTTAAATTTTTCTTAGTTCTTTTATGTTTTGTTCTACATTATTTTCCCTGCATTTTGTTTGTTTATACTGTCAAGTTGTTTATTGATTTCTTCTGTTTGTAAAGCACTTTGGTCAACATTTGTTGTTTTAAATGTGCTATAGAAAGAAGCAGACTTGAGTATTTTCCTAAAGGCAAAAGTAATATCATCAAATGTTCAGGTGAATTAATTTTAGTCCCAAGCCATAAGTCAGCTGATACAGTATCAGTAGAGGGTTGCAGTGGTATCCTGTTTTCACAGTATACCATGGTATGAAAACTGATGGTTATACCATTCACATTTGCTTATTACCGGTGTTGAAGGAAAAAAAACACACACAATGCGTGCGCACATTTCTTCCCTGACTCCCTGTCAGACTCCACAACGGGCGCCACATACACACACGCAGCAGGCAAATGGCAGAGAGGAGGCGGCGACAGATGGCCCATCACCAAACTCCATCCAGCCCAAAAAAAAAAAAAAAAAATGAAATAAATCCATGATTAGTTTGGATATCACAAAAAAAGGCCCCCTAAAAGAACCCACCCCCCGGTACAACTCACACTGGTCTTGACGTGACCCCAGAAACACAAAGACTTACCCAGCTCACACAAGTGGGTGTGCGGGCTCATGTGTGAGTGAAGGTACAGACAGGACCAGTCTGGCCGCGCTGTTGTGCACCTACACTACGTTACCAACGATTCCGATAAGCGTTTAGAGCAGTGTGACCGCATTTCTCACTACTGTTCTACAACCCAGTCAGTCGATTAACGGAGAGGATGATCAGCAGGTTGATCCCCGATGAAAATAATCAGCAGCTGCACTTGGATCCAAACTAGTCCAGCAGAACTGCAGCTCAACCAGCTACAACAGTCACATCCTGCTGTTACATCACTGCATGAGTGACAGGCTGGTAATGTAATACTGAATATATGGTAGTATATGTATAGGATATACAGTACAGTCTAACATTTTTCTGCACTGAGTAGCCTAACTCTACTTCATGATAATACTTGATTTTACTTCACATGCTCAGTGCGGGACCTGTACTTGTATCACAGTAGGCTACTTTTACTTAAGTAAAGGATGTGAATACTTCCTTTACTACTGGTGCTAACAAGCAAACTAACATCCTTTAGTTCAGGGGTCAGCAACCCGTGGCTCCCGATGCTTTAGTTAAATAGCATGATATAGTTATATGGTGTTTTTTGTTTTTTAAATCCTGTTTCTAACTCTGAATTCTGGGATGTAACTTAACAAAATAGGACAAATAAAGAAAAACACACGCAACCAAAGACAAAAAAGGAGGATTTGTGATGCATTTAAACAAAGTAAAGTTCTTTGTACTGTTAAAATAAATTTAAGGAGACCTCTTCCAAAAATTTTGTTATGGATGTCTGAAGAAAATTAACACAGGCTACATCATCACTTAAATATCAGGATTAGACACCGACGTTATATGACGTTAAAGATCCCCTAAATCTCTAGATCACGTTTTAATTTTAGCTGAGTTACAAACAACTGCGGAATAAATGTTTTTATTGACGGATTGATTGACTAATTGGTGGTGGGGGGGCATCATAATCCACGGCGTGTTCATCTCGGTGTGAATATCAGATTAATCAGAAGAGGACACATCAGACACGGAATTAGCAATGTTATGACAATCACAGTAACACTGACATAAGAAAATGTTTATTTAACACGGAAAATACCATAAATTACCCGAAACAGTAAAAATTAATGTGCGTCAGATAAAATGAAGAACAGGGAGGACTTCTACTGACAGACGGAAAAATCAGCCACAGAAGAGCGTTGTTTGTGTTTTTAACTGATAAAATTCTTAATTGGATTCGGCTAACAATCTTAGCTTAACGAGCTAATTGCTAACGTGCGGCTAACACCGGACAGGAAGAAATGTTTAGCAGCCGACTTACCTGAAATTAACTGTCAGCACAGGACAGGGTGCTTAGTAAAGGAAGTAAGTCAAGGATTCACAAGTGAAGCGGCTGCTATTAGAGAAAATAAATGCAGAAAATCGAGCTAACAATAACAGGTTAACTGACTGCTGCTTCCGTCTCCTTTCCGTTGATGTCGCTACACACCGAGATAATACGTTACCGCCACCTACTGGTGTGGAATGAGACCAGACGTATTCTTCTTCTTTCTTTTGTGTGGCGGCTGGCAACCAGTGTATGGAGCATTACCGCCCCCTTCTGAAATGAAATAGGATAGGGCTTCCAATCCACTCTGCAAAACACTGCAAGTCACTTTCGGCTTTTTCCCGTATAGGGGTCGCCACAGCGAATCGTCATACTGACGACTCGCATGTTGACATTTGGCACGTGTTTTACAGCGGATACCCTTCCTGACGCAACCCTGACTCGAACCTGGGCTGCAGCCACAGAGTGCTGCGCCTTAACCACTAGTCTACCAGGGACGGTTTTTCTCTGCAAGAGAAGAGTGTACACAGTGACTTTTGGAAAATGACACTTGTCTAGAATGTAGTTGTGTTCTGAAGTGCATTTATTTATGATTGTTGGTAAAACAGCACTTTATTCATTCCAAAAGATTCTGTGTCTGTTGTTCATACAGCAGTATTTTTTTTCCCTTTTGTTGCTGTTGCAAACAACTGCCCTTACTGGGATACTTACAGTTGTACTCTCTTGCAGTTGAAATTTTTTTTGATAATTCAAATGTGACATTGTTCATTAATTTGAGAGCCACTCATCAAGTAAAGATGATTTTAAGAGAAAATGTTTTTTTAAGTCTTCTCCCATAATATAACTTTTATCTTGTAAGTATTTGGTTTGTTTTATTCTTATAAATCATCTTTCTCTCAAAATATTATGATTTTTTTCTCCTCGCCCCGTTAGAGCTCTGGAAGCATTAATGCCACATTTATTTAATTGACAGAGTTGTTTTTATCCATGGGGTGGCGCTATAGGACCGCTTTTAGAAACCAAATCAACAACACTGTTGAATCTTCAATGACCCACTTCTAGTTCCTGTGGTTGTCATCAGCTCTGTGTGATCAAAAGACAAAAATATATGCAACACTAGACACCTTGTAAAATTAATGCAACAATGGTAAATTTGAACGATAAGCATCAAACAGTGCAGGTTACAGAGAGTAACAGGATTTTTAATAACGAAACCTGTAAATAACCTGTTCTCCTCTAAATCTCAATCTGAGACCAGATCAGAGACCTGTACGAGTTTCTATAATCTGTACGAGGTATATTTACAGATGTTGCACTGAGGGTTATTGTCCAATCATACTGTCGTTGGTTAAGTGTCCATCAGAGCGACAGCCTGGGAGAAGAAACTGTCCCTGTGCCTGGTTGTCTTGGTGCACAGTGACCTGTAACGCCGTCCAGAGGGGAGGAGTTCAAACAGATTGTGTCCAGGGTGTGAGGGGTCAGCAGTGATCCTCTCCGCCCTCCTTTTGACCCGTGAGGTGTACAGGTCCTCCATGGAGGGCAGGCTCACACCAATGATCTTTTCTACAGTCCTGACTGTCCTCTGGAGTCTGTACTTGTCCTGTTTGGTTGCTGAGCCAAACCAGACAGTGATGGAGGTGCAGAGAACAGACTCGATGATTCCTCTGTAGAACTGTATCAGCAGCTCCTGGGGCAGGTCGAACTTCCTGAGCTGGAGCAGGAAGTACATCCTCTGCTGTGGCTTTTTGATAATAAAGTGTGAAATGTGCAAAATTTAATTTGTCTGTTTACTGTATAATTTTACCCTTGTTTAGTAATAGTAATACCAGTATACCAGTATCATGTCAAAGTGGAGTTAGATCTTCTGCAGACTGATCTCTTTGTAATTTTCACAAATAGTTAAAAGAAATGAAACTGGAACATCTATTAATCTCAGCTTGAAATTATTTTGTTGCTTTAAGAAACACATAGACATAAACCTGTGAAATAAATATAACAGTACTTTTTAATAAAACAAAATTAGAGATATAATTTTGCTAATTTTCTCAATATGTATAGCAAATATCTACAAAATCATCCCACCATTGGGTCCATTTACTAGCTGTTTTGGGGCTTTTGATGCCATCCCATGCAATTCCTCAGCAGCTTATTCTTTGATTTGATGTTTTGTGATCTTTTTAAGGACATCTTGTGTATGTTATTTTAAATGCTGAGACTGAAGGTTTCAATGTGATGTTTGGTATAAATACATACTGAAGTCCAATAAAATCTAATGTAGAAGATCAGGTACATAACACTGCAAGTGCTTGTTCCAAATAAAATGGAGCATCTGTGGAAACATTGCAAATTACTAATGGAAAAAAGCAGAATAGATGTAACTGAACATTTACTGTATTACTTTTATTTTCACAAGTCTTTTTTCCTCCTTCTACTGGGATAAAAGTAGACGGCAGCAGAAGTACTACCAACAGTACTACAGTAAGACTGAGCAGCAGGTGGAGCCACAGACCACATGTAAGCACCGAACCTCAGTCTGTCTGCAGGAACACAGATCAGAAAACACTGCTAATGATGTCGGACATGAATCTCTGCTTTACTGTGTGTTTCGGTGTCTAATTCGATAAAAGCCAAACTGGGTTTGTTGCCATTTCAGTTGGGGTTAGGGTTAGGGTTAGTGTCAAATGAGTTTAGAGTGAATTTATGCTATTTAATTAAACAGCTCATGATTAATACAAGCAGCGTGCACAGACCCAGACGCTTTGTTTGAGTGTATTATCATTTCCAAAAAAATCAATTTAACATTTTCAAAAAGTCATTTACAAGCAGCACAATTGATCAAATAATCAATCAATCAATCAAGGCTTTATTTATGACACTCTAACAGAAGAAATGTGGTTTGTAAGTGTTTACAAACAGCCAAATAAAAAGACAAACAGGTGAAGACAATAATAGAGATGCAGCTGAATGTATAAAAAATACATAAAACTGTAAAACTAAATAAGTGAAAATAAAAGAAATTAAATGGCTGCAAAAATAAAACACACTAAAAACACAAGAGAATGATGAAATAAAAACATTTCAGATCTAGTGAAACATCATCAAGCCTGTAATTTATAAAAGTAGCTCATTTATAGAATAAAAAGAAATAAAATACAAAATTAAAATAAAAAAGATGTTTAAAAAATAAGCTCATGAAGACGCTCATTCAGAAGAAAATATGGAATTATAGAAAAACACAATGAATGGATTCAAAAAAGAGAAATAAAACTTCCCCAGAAATTTAGTCCCTGATCCCTTTAATCCTGAAACCGTTGTCGGCGGCGTTTCACATATAAAGACAATAAATATAAAACTGCGAGTGAAAATATCAGTGTGTTATGTTGAGACGGTCGCCTGCTTTCTCCATTTCTGTCACTGTTTGATCAAGGCTGCACACAGGCAGGATGTTTTACTCTAATGCTGGACTCAGAGCCACATCAACAGTAAATCATGCAAAATCAAATATTTAATGCATCGAGTTCACCAGAGCAACATCTGAAAGTTGGTCACTCAGTGCTGACTCAACGTTTACATCAGTGCGTCCATGCCTGTGCTCTTTTGTTTTGTTTTGAAAATCAGTGCAGATGAACAGTCATCTCATCAAAACCCCTTTCAAAGATGTACTTTCACCAAAGTAAATGTAGTGTTTCTGTACATGTTGATCATTAGTTTACTGTTTCTGTAGCAACACGTGGAACCAGTACGCCACATTCATGTGCTACTCTTGTGGTACTCCTGTGGAGACGGGTGTGTATTTTGGGACCTTTAACACCGGAGTGTGCTGCTGGTTTTGAAGTACTTTACCACCTTCCGTGGTACTTTACTATATACTGTATTTTGTGGTACACTTCTGTGGTAAATGTTCCAAAATACCACACAGGAACATTTGGTACCGGTACCACAGATCCTGCGGTTCATGTGCTGTTCTAGCTGTGTGTCGAGCACAGAGGCTGTTTCTATAAACCTCAGATATTTATATAAATTACAACACTGAAATACATAAATATAATACTAAACAATACATATTAAACTTAAGCCACAGTTGACTGGAACAGAAAGCAAATCTTTACAGTGATTAGAAAACATGTAGAAATGTTTGCACCTGATAAATTGTGTCCAACATTATCCACAAACTCTGTATGAGGTAGCTGAAAGTAAAAACTTCAAAGGTCCGAATTTTATGTTTGGCTTTAAATTTTGACTTTTTGAGCCCGCACATTTAAACTCTGCTATTAAAACAGACCAAAGCTAATGTCAAATGCTAATTTACAAAATGATTATAAATAATATAAACACAATTGATCTATTAATTCTATTAACAGATGAGTGTTTTTTTTGGTCTTGTCTTTTGTATTTTTCTTGTATGTAACTTTTTAATGCTGATGTTCTGCCAGGGTTGTAAACTTCAATGGTATCTCGCAGGTGAAATAAAGGTTAAATAATAATAAGAAGAAGAAGACTAGGAAGAGGAAGAAGAAGAAAGAAAGATAATTAATAGGGATTAGTACAACAGTAATAATAAGTGATGACTGTTAAAAAACAAGGCCTACCCCTGGGCCTGGTCCAGGTTAACCAATGGAAACCTGTTTTAACATTTATGAGACCAAACTGATGACAACCAAAAACAACAATTAATAACTTATAATACTTAATAGCCTACATTTAAATTAACGCATTGTGCTATCCACATTTTCACAACAGCTAATTTTTTTTACCATAATATGCGGTTGTTTAGCGTTCATGTTTTTAATTTTCTTGAACTTCATTAATTGAAATAAATTGGCACACAATAAAACTA